GGAGGATGAATAAGAAGCAGAGGTTGGGGGTATCTCAGTTCTGATGGATGTCACATATCTGGCTGATTCTAGTGGACATGATATGTATGTCATGGGCATGGTGTTTATATACATGTGTGTAGGTATGTGTGTATTATGTAGCTTTGGCCATGAATGTGCCATCTTGTACCGTAGAGTATTATATGTGCAACTCCAGGATTCAGAAAGGAGAGTTATCAAGCTATAGGATGAACACAGATTTGCAGTGTGGAGGAACCAGGCTTGAGGAGTGCAGATTACTCTCAGTCAACTCAAGGATAGACTGAAGCTTCTTTTTAAAGATGAGATCAGTCTTGTTAATTTACTAACTGGTTCTAATCAGAGTGCTCAGAAATTCATAGTGACCAGTGACAAATTATGCATGGAGATAAAGATACAACAGGGTCCCCATATCAACTCTAGTTTAGCCTTTACATTCTTGCTGATCAGAAGTCATCCCTAGAAAAGTTAATCAGCTAAGGATTGCTGAATGAGTTTTTTTTTTTTTTAACGTTAACTGCTGATCCAAAGCAATAAGGATTCCTCTTGAGCTCATAAATGTGTGACATGCTGAGTAAGCACCACGTTCCCTACCCTCATGGTTCACTCTGCCAGGTGTAATAACCCCCTGGCTACTCATGTCTACATCTTTCAAATGTGTATATCCATTGCCACTGGCTTTGACCTGCATGTTAGCTTAGGTCCTAACCCAGAAATAAATAAGAACCAAGATCAGAACCTGACTCAGAACGGGATAAATAGCATTGCTTGTTCCCCACTGACTTTTCCCCTCTTTGCTGAGCAAAAGTTGATAGCCACTTCACCTTCTAGAAGTTAGGTTTTCTGAAGGTGTTATTAGGGTCGAGGACAGCATTAAGCTCCATTTAATAAAGGTTAGACTTTAACCCACCAATGTCCAGTTACTCTCTTCAGTAGTAGGCTAATGACTGCTATTGGAGGGGGAGAAGAAGGAAGGCCCAGCCATCTGCTTTTCTGATAGGTTGTCGTCGTGTATATGTGTGTATGTGTTTCTAAACCTGTCACGTGGCTGAGGGGATAAACAAAATCTGGAGGAAGATCATATTTCTCTTGCCTGAAAATGGGGAGGGGGAAGGCTGGAAACATGAAGAACTCCAGCCAGTCTTCATGCTTCCACTGTCTTCTCTTCATGACTTTAGTGGGAAAGAAAGTGGAGTACGTCCCAGTCATACCAGCAATGTGAACAAAAAGAATCCCCCACATGGACTGGCCTCGTGAATAGGAAGTCACCAAAATGAGAATGGATTTTGGCTGGTTATTTTCCTCTGAGCATATGCTTTCTCAGAGACATGATGGAAAATGGCTTGTTTAGAAATCAGATACTCGAGTTACATCTTCAAAAATGTTTGCTACTCATTGTTAGCATCCTAGCTCCAAAATAATTATCTTGCTGGTAGTTAATAATATTCCTTAACTATCTTCTAAGAAGTGAATTATCACCTCCCATCCCTCTAGGCCACTCCCTGTTTCATATCCTGGGCCCACAAATGGATTTGGGGCCTTGTTGCTGACGTTGCCCTCTGTTAATATTTGCTACTTATGTCCTTTGACCCAGACTGATTGGTCCTTTAGTCAAGTGATTGTTACACCCCTACTTACATGGTACTGTTGATTTCAGACTTCAGGGTACATGGGACCAGCCTGACCTTTTTGTAGAATCTTCTGTTAGTTCAGAATTTGCCACTGGGCTCATTTTAAAGCCTCAGATAGCTGAAACCTAATCTTAGTTTTGTGAGGTGACACACACGTATACCTAACCCTTCCTGGGCTCCCTCTCCCCGAAGCTTGTCCCCAGAGTTCTGGTGATTTTGTGAAAATGAATTCCTACTGGATACCAGAATTCTGTGGGAAATCATAAAGAATAAATGAAGTCTTTGGAATCAAATGGAATTTCTAGTCTACCTCTACCATTTTAATATTGAATGTTATTCAGTGTCTCTTACCAGAAGTTTCCTCAGCTCTAAACTCTGAGTCAATAATATTGATATTATGTGGTGGTTTTTGAAGGTTAAATCAGCTAATGTTCATATACCAGGTGAATATAAATAGCAGTCCTCAGTCTGCCTCTGGGTTGGCGTCCTCTCTTCCTCCCTCGTTCGTTCCCTCTCTGCCTTTCTTCCAGACCTTCTGTACTGAGGACACATGTCCCTCAGCTGTGTCCAGCTCGTTGGAACCCTTTGGACTATGGCCCATGAGGCTCCTCCATCCATGGGATTTTTCAGGCAAGAATACTGGAGTGGATGGTCATTTCCTTCTCTCAGATGACTCCCAGTCTAGCATGAGGGACAGCAATGTAAATCAGTGACTTTAATCTCCTCTGTCAATGCCTTAGAAGAGAAGGAAGCAGTATCCAGCAAAGCTCAGGGTTCTGTCACCACCAGCCTGGCAGGATCTGCTCTCCAAAAGATAAAGAACAGACTGAGTCTGCTCAGAGTCTGCTGCTAAATGTGCCTTCAGCAGAATATCTGACTGTGAATGAATCATGGATTAGTTACATAAGCACCTGCTCTGCTTCTTCCCCCCAAAACATCCTCCCAGTTTGTGTGCCCTCCACCCATTTAAGTGTTTTAAGACTGTTTGCCACACACAACACAACTGTTTGCTATATGATTGTTGATCTTAATCAATGAGCACACTTTAGCTTGTTCTTCATGCCACTGAAGATCTCTGTACTGGCTGCAAAGGTGACTTTTTTCTCACAGCAGAGTTGTATAACCTGATGTATCTATAAAGGAAGAAGAACAATGGCTAGGTGGAGAATGTAAAATCACCCTCTTATAGACCCTTCTGTTCATGCTCTTCAAAGATGTGATTAAGAGCAGATGGTCCATCCTCTGTATGCCTTTGACATAAGAAAGATAGCATGCAGTACTACTCATCTTTGATCAAAATGTAAAGTTTCTCTCATCATGAGTAGCAGGAAGAGAGTTGAAAGCCTATCTCCTCTACAGAGCTAGACTAAAAATTAAGAGAAATTCTTTCCTCCTTTTTCCCTCAGTAACAGAGTTTATCCACAGTATTAGCTGGAGAATTGCTTCATTTTTCAGCTTATAGTCTGAAAAATAAGGTTGATGGTGGTGATTAAGGCATATTCAGAATAGGGACTGTTTTGTTTGGTTATGGGCTTCCCTGGTCGCTGATAAAGCTACCTGGTAAAGCTCCCTGGTAAAGAATCCACCTGTAATGCAGGAGACCTGGTTCAATTCCTGGGTCAGGAAGATCCTTTGGAGAAGGGATAGGCTACCCACTCCAGTATTCTTGGGCTTCTCTTGTGGCTCGGTCAGTAAAGAATCTGCCTGCAACGTGGGTGACCTGGGTTCTATCCCTGGGTTGGGAAGATTCCCTGGAGGAGGGCATGGCTTCCCACTCCAGTATTCTTACCTGGAGAATCCCATGGACAAAGGAGCCTATAGTCCATGAGGTCACAAAAGAGTTGGATAGGACTGAGTGACTAAGCATAGCATTGCACAGCACAGTTTGGTTATATGATCTAGAATATAAACTCCTCACCAAATCTCAGTGAGTGATGTCACAAACTCAGCTTGCTTACATTTCTCCAGCAGTGCCTCCTGGAAGTGATGAGCTTTTTAGGTCTGAAGATTTCCACTTCGTTTTTTCAGGTACTAGGCAGAAGATGATATAGTTTATGGATTTATCAGCTTCCATTAAAAGCAAATGAAATGTGCTTTTAATTCTTGGGAGGAATGATCTGTGTTTACAGAAAAATTTGCTATGATTACTTGTGATTAACAGCATATTTTATACTTAAGATAGAGGGTTATGAAAAGCAAGTATGACTTATTTAGGAAAGAAGATAGGATGTGATTTTGCCAAATTGCAATAAATTTAGCAAGAACTTTTGTAGAAACCATGTCATTGGGCTCCCACTGGAAAATCACCTCATTTCTGAGCACCTAAAAAGCTTATTGAAATTTCAACTTAGTGTTCCCAATTGTTATTTTAAATAATATAATTTTTATTTTGTATTGGGATAGAGTTGATTTACAGTGTTGTGTTAGTTCCAGGTATACAGCAGAGTGATTCAGTTATGCATATATGAAGTTATATGCATGTTCATTCTTTTCAGATTTTTTCCCCATGTAGGCTATTACAGAATACTGAATAGAGTTCCCTATGCTATACAGTGGGTCCTCGTTGATAATTTGCTTTATTCATAGTGTGTATCTGTTCATCTGAAACTGTTCTGAAGACTTGGTGGTGCCCACGGATATGCATTTTAATTCTCTAGGTCATTCTGTTAGGATGATCCAAAGACCACACTTTAAGAACTTTTAATTCTTAGAGTCGTCAAATTCATAGCAACAGGAAGTACAATGGTGGTTGCCAGGGGTGGGTGACAGGGTGAATGGACAATTCATGTTACAGGGTACAGATTTTCAGCTTAGGAAGATGAAAAATGCTGGAGCCGGATGGTGATGATGGCTGCACACCCGTGTGAATGTATCAATACTGAATGCCACTGAACAGCATGCCTAAAAATGGCTAAAATGGTCAGCTTTACGTTATATTATTATCACAATAAAAATAAAAACAAGAAATTTGAATGCAAGCAGCAGTCATTATTTTAAAATATTGGTGGCTCTTTGCTTCCACACTAATTATTGATAAAGAAAATAGATATCTCCAGTGTAAAATATAATTTGTGCTCAATTATGGATCCACGTTGAATGATAGTTGATCATTGTTATATGACAGGGCAAAAACAATGACCTAGACAGAAAGATCATAGCACTTGATTTATGCTTTAGTAAGAGAAAATAGATTTCTTGTCTATCCATAATTTGGCCAAACGAAGGGGGGTATTAGAGTCGCTCAGTCTGCATGATTGCTCCTCTTCCTGCTGTCCTCAAGTGTATTCATCTGATTTTGCCTCACCTTGGTTTTGCAATAAAGACCCATAGTGATACTCATGCTCTTTTCAGGACAGGGTGTGGGCCAGTGTGGGGAAGAGCCTGAACTGCATTATTGCCATGGTGGATAAACTGATCGAAAGAGAGAGCGGTGGCGAGGGAGGCAGTGACAGCAGCAAAGATGTAGAAAAGGACTCTTCTCCGGTGGACTCCATCGTAACTCATCCGAAGGGTAAGGAGTCATTTTTTTCCCCAGTCATTGACTGAGTAAACAAAATGAGAAAGCCAAGATAAAATGAGATAGAAAAACGAGGAGTCAATAGTGCTTTTGATGAAAGTGCTGATCGTGTGCTTTTCCACTGCTCTGGCTGGGGTGATGGAAGGCTATTTATCAAATTGCATCTTGGTTGTGTTTTCAGAACTGCTTGCAATGCTCATTTTTTTTTTTTTAACTACATAAAAACCCTCTTGAAAGGAGAGCAGTGTTTTCTTTTAAAGAGTCTGATATAGTTTAATCTACTTTTATGCACATTCCTCCAAAATTTTATTAGGAACAGAAACAAGCATCTGAAAACACTTAGAAACTTTGAGGACTAGCAGGATGCAACATCTTAAAAAGGTTTCTGAAAAGGTGATATGGTAAAATGCTGTTCACCTTACTCCGAGGGAGTGAGTTTGTGAATTATTTCAAAAACATATAAGAAGTCTTAATACCATATAAGAAGAATGTGTTTGTGTGTTATTTGAAAGACATATTTTCATGAAGCTTAAATTTTCATAGATACATGTATAGGTACATACACTGATGCGCACATATGTATACACATATGGGTGTGTGTGTCACTATAGACACACACACATATTTATGTATAGAGACAAATACTTTCAAAGTATGTCTAATTACAAGGTTGACTAGCAGATATGGCTTCTTTTGTTAAAATTTTTTTGTTAATTTGATTAATTTTGACAACAAAAACTAAGACAGATATCTGCACTTGTCTGTGATAGAAAGACTTGCTCCTAGAGTTATTCCAGCCAGATTCTTAAGTGTTTGGAGATAAAAAGTGCTACCCTACCCTTTTCTTCTAAAATCTGCTTTCCCTGTTCCTTAAGGAAAATGAGTATAAGAAAATATGGCTGCTTATCAAATTAAATTGTTTTCTCAATTTGTTTTCCTGATTTTTTATTACTCACAGCTTCATCAGGAGTTTAATTACAGGAACCATCAATCTTTCATCACCTGATTAACAGTAGACCCATTTCTAAATCACATTCATCAACAGTGGCTTTCTAAAGTTTTCTTATTGTAGGTGTTTCTCATCCTCCATAGTACACTCACTTAGGTTGAAAGTTTACAGATTTTTTTAATGTTCTACTTGATTTAACTGTATATGGGGATTTTCTTTTTTAATAATATCAATTTTATTAATGAAGCTGGTCCAGATTCATAACTTCACATGAATCAAAATGAAAGCCTATCATAATTTATGTCAAAAAGAAATAGTATACTTCAGTTTTCTTTAATTGAATATTTCTTGACCATCAGTGATGAGCCAGGCACTGTGCTGTGCTCTGGAAAATGAGGTAAAGAAGCAGAATCCATATTAGTGATTTGTTCTGTCCATTAAGTGTTCAAGGCACTTGGAACAGAGTAAGATTAAGAGGTTAAGGGATACTGAATTTTGCCACATTTTTTGATGCTCCAGAAAACTGCTTATTGATGAGAACAGAGTTCCAAAGTATTGGAAATTATGCATATATTCATATCTTGTATTTTATCAGAAGAACGTATCTGTGCAATCAGTTTCCATTTAAAAAGTAAAAATATTTGGTAGGTAAGTCATTTGTAAAATTAGATGAATCACCTTCATTTGAATGTAAAAGATTGCTTGGATATAGCCTAAAAACCATATAGAATTTGCTCCTAAAGCGAATTCATAACTAGATCAGTTTTGTGGATAGTTGGAGTCAAATTATAACACAGTGTCTTATAATTTATTTCATTATCTTTATTAATTTTACTAATATCTTATTTTCCATGTTTATTTCAATCATTCTTTTTTGAATTATAAACTTTTTTAGGAGATAAGACATTGTTTAATAAAATAAAATACATACTTTGGTCTGAAAATTATTTAGTATTAGATAATGTATTACTTAGATAATGTAGTATTATCAAATAATTCTAAAGTTAAAGCTGTTAACATTTTATGTGTTGGATGATTGTGTATAGAATGCACAATAGAAAGTTTTGGTAAGGATATTGGTTCATAAAAGGGATGATTAACAAATAAAAGTGTGATATATAGCAAATGAATGTGTGCTCAGTTATACTTATAATATATTAAATATGTGATGGATGTTATTGCATATTTGATGTGGGATTGTTAATCAGTTATTTAAGTAAAATTTATTTTTATTAAGTAATAAAAATGATAACTATTATTCATTTATTTTAATCTTCCTCTTAATTTAGGAAAAATGCACTTTTAGTTTCTACCCTGAACTTTGTCACATTAAACAATGCAGCAGAGAAATTAATAATGGCTTTCTGAACTATAAAGCAAACAAGCTAAAGTTGCAGTTTACATATACTATCCCCTTAACTATTTCTGAAAAAAGATATTTGAGATCAGTTCAGTTCAGTTGCTCAGTCGTGTCTGGCTCTTTGCGACCCCATGAACCATAGCACACCAGGCCTCCCTGNCAGTCTGTTGTTCCATGTCGAATTCTAACTGTAAAATGTAAGCATCTTTGAACATGAAAATCTTTAACTACATCTCAGAAATTATCCTCTAAGTCAGATTGCTGCAAGTGGAATTATTTTATAAGGAAGAATTAATCCTTCTCTCCCATATATTTACTTATACAATGACTTGTTGATATCAGTGTGGACTCATGAATACTTACTTTATTCTTTGGTTTATATGCCTCTAATGTTCTTATTTATTTGGGGCTCAAATTGTTCAAGGGCTAGCTATTAGGAGCTCTTGGTGGCCTTTTGGTAGCTTCTCTTGCCATAGACTATGTATTTAGTTTCTCACTTACTTTCTTACTTTTACATTTTATTCACTCTCTTATTCTCTGGTTTCATAAAAAACTTATTCTAGGTTCATCTGTATTTGTCCCAGCTTGTGGTTCAGCTATTTTCCAAGGAACCCTGGTTTCTTTTTTGGAGAATAGCATTTAGAAACCAACATTTGGTTGGGTGGGGATGTTTGAATGGTTCTTTGTAACAATAGGTACTCTGAACAGCAGTACCTACAGACAGTCTTTTACCTTACCAGCTTTAGATATTTTCAGTGATTCCATGCCATTTTGGACAGAAATCAGCATATTGTAGTTTCTAATTATTTGTGTCTTGATATTGTGGTACAGCAGCAAAGAACCTGCCTGCCAGTGCAGGAGACTCGAGAGATGCTGGTTTGACCCCTGGGTCAGGAAGATTCCCCTGGAGTAGGAAATGGCAACCCACTCCATTATTCTTGTCTGGAAAATTTCACCGACAGAGGAGCCTGGTAGGCTACAGTCCATGGGGTTGGAAAGAGTCAGACATGACTTTACATGCATGCATATACACATTATGTAACTTTTTAAATACTGTATTTCAAAATAACATCTTTGATAATGAAATCCATTTCTTCAGTAACACCACATTTATCCTCAGTGCACAGCTGTGGTGGAAAAGTCATTACATTATTTTCATTCCACAGTTAATTAATAAATTGATTTAGTGAGTGATTTGAGCCATCTAAAGTTTATTGTTATGTGTGATGTGCTAAACACTGATAGGAATTTCTTGCCACATCATCTATGAGTGATTATTTTCCTAACATTAGAATAGTGTTTTCCTTAGAATTCAGTTCTGCAAATATTTTAATCAATGAAATAGTTGTGGTCGATTTCTGATCAATTAATCAATCAACTTAATAAAATTTTGTTCATGTGCTTTTGACTGTTGTGTTTTATGTTGGGAAATGTTTTGAAATCTCATAATTAACCTTATGATAGTTGGTTTTTCTTTCTTTACCATCATCTTGTATTTTTACATTATAATCATCACGTTTCTTTGTTGGTTAAACAGATGGTCTTCTGAACTGTTGCTCCATTTTTTCATTTTTTAATGTTCCTCTATAACTGCAAATATTTCTCTTCTCAACTTGTAGATTTTTCTCTTTACAGTGTATCAATTTAATAATGTTTTAAACCTGTAGTTTTGAAGGTTTTTTATTTGACATCTAGAATTTTTCACTATATCTTACTTCATAAATTTTTTTTCAGGATTACTGCAAATAGTGCTGAGAGAAGAAAATCTTTCTGTACATTCTGAGAATGAGTAATAGAATAACTGTTCCAAACTAATGCTGATGTATATCCATATGTTTTCTTAACAAACAAGATTGTTCTCTTATTTTTGTACATTTAAACATACTTATAAGCAGGTGGCCCAGTTGGTAACGAATCTGCCTGCAGTGCAGGAAATCTGGGTTTGATCCCTGGGTTTGGAAGATCCCTTGGAGGAAATGGCAATGCTCTCCAGTATTCTTGCCTGGAGAATTCCATAGACAGAGGAGCCTGGTGGGTTACAGTCCATGGGGTCACAAAGAGGCAGACATGACTGAGTAACTAACACTTTCATTTTCACTTTTCAAAGGTATAGCATCAAGTACAGTGCAACACAGGACTGCCTCCCTACTTTTACATACTATTCTATTAATGGTATTTACGTTTTTATTAGCTATTCCCTTGCGGCTCAGCTGGCAATGCGGGAGACCTAGGTTCGATCCCTGGGTTGGGAAGGTCCCCTGGAGAAGGGAAAGGCTACCCACTCCAGTATTCTGGCCTAGAGAATTTCATGGACTATACAGTCCATGGGGTCACAAAGAGTCGGACATGATTGAACAACTTTCACTTTCACTAATAGCTCCATTGAAATCCATAAACCTTGCTAAATTGGACCTATACCTCAGGCTTCTCAAAATTCAAGTAATATTTAGGCATTACTGTGTGCTGGACATTTTGAAATATTAGGGGCACAAGAAGATTAAGACCCAGTCTGTCTCAATTTTATCGAAGAGATTGATGTCTAAGCCTATAACTATAATGTAATACACTTTTGAGTACATGCTGAAAAATACCTGTTTCTTTCATCCATCATGCCTACTGCCCTACTAAGGTTTATTTTATTCACATGTTGTAAACATTTCCTATCTACTCACAGAAGCGACAGAT